AAGTAAAGATACTCAAAAAATGTACTTAATTACAGTAATAAAGTAAAAGTACTTTGTTACTGTCCACCACTGCTCATAAGCACTGCCTCCACATGGTGGACAAACAGGTTAGTCACATGCAAAAGAGGGCCATCGACTAACAATAGGCTTGATTGGCTCTATTGTTCATAGAGGGTCATGTGCCCCATCACCTGGCCCGTGTCGTGTCATGTGTATGTAGTGAATGCAAGTGCGGGTTCAGCGTCCCCTTGTTTTTGTCCCTCTTTCCCTCTTTGTGTTGGTATCATTGGGGCCCTGTTTCACACTTTTTGCTCACAGGGGGCTGAGTCATACTTGCAATGACAGCATTGTAGGCGGAAGACAACTGGACAAGAAGGCCTCCACCTCTGTTTAATGGTGGACGGTTTTTCTTTACTCCTCTCTCAAACCATTGTTCATCTCTATCAAGGTTGAGAACATCTTCATCCCTGAAAGAGTGACCGCTGGCTTGTAAATGAGTGTAAACTGCAGAGTCCTGACCCGATGACGTAGCTCGTCTGTGCTGGCTCATTCTTTTGAACAGCGGCTGTTTTGTTTTCCTAATGTATGACTGATCACAGTCCTCCTGACACTTAACAGCATATACTATATTACTCTGTTTTTGCCAGGGAACTGAATCTTTGGGGTGAACTAATCTTTGTTGTAACGTGTTTTGGGGTTTGAAAGCCACTGGGACATCATGTTTAGAGAATAAACATCTCAGTTTCTTTGAAACTCCCACCACATACGGAATGACAACTGGTTTGAGTCCCAAACAAGTCGTCATTCCCACATCACTGCCTGACCTGTGTCGTGTTACATACACCTAACACGACATGGGTCAAGTGATGGGGCACATGACCCTCTATGAACAACAGAGCCAACCAAGCCTATTGTTAGTCGATGACCCTGTTTTACATGTGACTAACCTGTTTGTCCATGAGGAGGCAGTGCTTATAAGGCTGAGCTCACCTGAAACTCATCAGACTGAAGAAGTCTCTTGGAGGGGAGATGAAGTGTTTCACTAAAGAAGAACCCATCCAGAGGACCTACTTATTTTTTCTTTTTGATTTTTTTCTACCTGGGTTACTGAGATGCATCATGACATACTCTCAGTACACTATATTAAAAAATGAAATCAGAGTTTGATCAAAATTTATACTTTAAAAAAGAATTTGTACTTGTAAAAAACAAGGAATTACCACATATACATGAGTAATCATACCCTTGTAAAATAATCCTTGGTGACACTTGCTTTGACAAAGCACCGGCGAGACTTAAACTGTGAGGTGGCAGTGATGTGGGAGCAAAAATACTAAATTATATCAATGTACCTCCAAATTTAGGGCGTCAGATTGGGCTAAAGGTTGACATTTCAAAATGAAAATTACTGAAAGCACACAGAGAGAGCAAATGCAGGAGTGGCTTAGCAACGTCTCAGAAAATGTCCTAGAGTGACTCAGCCAAAGTTCTGAACTGCACCATTTGGAATGTCTTTGGAAAGACCTGAAAATTGTTCCAGCAAACATCCCCAAAAAATATCAGAAAATCCCACCAATATACGTACATGTACAATTTGTTGCAATAGAATAGAATAGAATAGAATAGAATAGAATAGAATAGAATAGAATAGAATAGAATAGAAT